CATAAAATTTAGTACTTGGAGCCAAAAAAGTTGTGTAGGAGGTGGGCGCCGTAATAAGAAATTCTTTATTATCTTCCAAGTTGGAAAATTCTGGCTTAAACGAGCAGGGCACACCGAATTTAATCAAAAAATATTTTGTTTTTTATTANTTGCCCGAACTGCGAGTTCAACTTCTATTCTTCCTTTTATAGACCCACCTCCTGTAAAATTTATTGAATTTTTATTGTAGAGCTGAAGGGAAATACTCTGGTGTGTACATAAAATAAATAATATGCAATATAGAATGGAAATTGAAGAAGATGTAGATATTAATGACTCGCCAATCTATTAATCACATTCAACATTCAGCCAAAAATGGACGCTTCTCTAGACGAGATCCGCTTTCGATGGCCTGCTGGCTTTAGCTCAGCTTTTGTTGTATAAAATGTAGGTAAAATTTAAAGTTCCAGTGTAAATACATATCGTGCATATAATTTAGTATGTAGGTATTGTAAATGATTTTCGTTTTGTCATTTTTAAAATGAAGACAAAGGAACTTCCTTAGAAGTAAAATAAATGTGCCTGTTAATTTTCTCCAAAATTCATAAAATTTAGTACTTGGAGCCAAAAAAGTGGTGTAGGAGGTGGGCGCCGTAATAAGAAATTCTTTATTATCTTCCAAGTTGGAAAATTCTGGCTTAAACGAGCAGGGCACACCGAATTTAATCAAAAAATATTTTGTTTTTTATTAGCGCCTGTTTTTCTAGAATTACTGGACGATAATGTAAACCGATTTTGACGACCTTTCAGATTTATGATTTTCTCATTTCCATTTTCCACATTTCTTCATTCCTAAGTGCCGAACAGCAGATATACGAAATTTCATCGAATTTCTAGTACGATTACTGCTTTTGGCCGCAGCTTATATGGGGGCGTCCCACTGTGCGGGCGCCCGCTATTAGAAAAAACTGTATTATTACTTTTTTTTTATGTGGGGTCGAACCGGGCTTGAACCCGACCCAGCGGAATGGTAGCGCGCACTGCTAACCACTACACCACAGTGGCCGATAATCAATTCTTGATTGGAGCAGTAAACGCCACAGAGAGTCCAAAAAAGCACGCCGGTCGTTTCTCTTCGGTGCTAACTGACGCCAATAGGAAATGCCAAGTGAAGCCAGGTAATTCTCCACCTGGTCTCTTCATTGCAGAGGACGCCTTCTTTCTTCTCTGTAACCAGCATTGAGTAATTTTTAAATTTCATATATGGCTCCCAATCCACCAGTTTGTTTGAAAAACATTGTAACCATAATGGCAGGAAATAACAATTTACTGAGCTAAATGTAACAGGTCAAAATTAGTTTAACTTAGTATTATTTTGATAGACTAGGAAACATTGTTTGCATGTATTATTTATGGGAATCTAATCGTAGTAATAAACATCGAGCATGCGAAAACTTTGGTCCGTATTTGTAGTCAGTATTTTTCCATTATTATAAACAGATCTGGGAAACAAAGGCCCGTAGTGTTGAGAGGTATCCTATTGAAAATTATGTCAAAAAGCTGCAATTAACTTTAGAGTCGACTTAATTTTGACTATAACTAAGGGCCTTTGTTTCCCAAATCCGTGTCTAAAGATGGGAAAATACTGGCATGTTAATAAGTTTGTTAAGGGCCCGAGTTTCTCTTCCATAGATGTACTGTGTAAAAGTGTCCGATCTTTTCGGTGGATACATTTGGATACAGTTTAGCTTTTTTATGGATACTCTAAAGGCTAAGGCAGGCAGTGGCAACACTGATGTCAAACTATTTATAACCATTACTACCAAATTTTTAGGAACACTAATTTCTGCATTTTGGAAATCAACTAGTTATTAAGCAACTTTACGTGCCTACATACATATGAATACACAAACTTACCTACCCTACCAACCATTTTTTCAGAGTATTCTGAATTGTATAGAAATTTTAAAGAACTCGTAAAGATCTCATCTGATTTTTTACGAAGTTTCTAAAATGAAATTAATTGTACACACTTTTATCCTTTTACGAAATTTCGGAATAAAATCGGTAAAGCTATGAACATAATGCTGCTATGTGAAGAATTTCTTGCAGAATTTTTTCAGAATTTTCTTTATTTTTCTTACAGGAATTTCTTTACGAGTTCGTGTCAACCACTTCATATAATTTTCCTTGAAGATTCGTAAAAAAGTCGTTACAGAAATGAGATACTCCTGCAGGTAAGTATGAAATAAAAGCATATAAATTCCGCTAAGATCAAATAAATTGTTCCCTTTTCGCAGGGCCGGATTAAGAATGTGGGAGCCCGAAGCAGGTTAAATGTTAACTTCCTACCACGTGTTTTCTTTTTCAATTCTCGCCTGAATTCCTTTGTACTTGCCGCTCATGTTTCATGCAGTATTAAACGATTGAACATGGCAGTCTCGTATATGAACAGAGATGAAATAGTACGAATATTTTGTCTTTTTGATCCGGCTTATTATTTCTGCCTGTCCTTTCTCAACCCTCAAAGTTATTATTTCCTCGCAGGTTGTTGATAAATAATTCACGTGACCTTGTCTTTTATTTCCGTATTCTTTGATATGTCCCGGGGTCATTCTGAGCTATTACTTCCAGTGCCCCACGAAAATTTCAATTATTGGGAGAGTTGAGAATCTCCCCAGAGCCAGGAGAGGCTAATCTAGGTTCCGCAAGATGTATTGATGGTTATTTGTTTGTTCTTTCGTCATCTCTCGTTACTTAATAGCCGCATTTCGTATTTTACTTTTGGCATTATTATTTGATTCAAATTTTTAATATACTTGTAATTTGACTTTAGGCTAAAGCAAATAAAAGCGAGTAGTTATAAAAACTACAATTCGTCATTTATTCCATTTAAATTAATGCATGTAATTGTAATTGTAAATTGTAATTGTAAATTGCAAAAATGTATAAAATTTATTTTATAGTGACAAAGGCGTTTCAAATACGCGGACGCAACCGTATCTGAACACCATTTCCACTCTTCATCACCAATTCAGCCAGAGCTTTGGGCTTGAAACCTTCTGCTGGCAAAAACTCGTAGCTTCGCAGAAGTGACGACAGAGAAAGCTTCAATTCCAACATTGCATATTTTTGTCCTGAAAAAAGAGAAATACTGCGCATCAAAAGAAAAGGAAAAAAAAATGGTAAAAGGAAGGAATGGATTTACACACCAATGCAGTTGCGTGGACCAGCGCTGAATGCAACGAATGCAAATGGATGTAGATCCTTCTCAGCTGCCAAGAACCGCTCCGGGTCGAACTTTTCCGGCTCGGGGTAATACTTCTCATCACGATGCACCATATAGGCGAGTGTGCTGACTGAAGCACCCTTTGGCACCGTAATATTGCCTAATTGTAAGTCCTCTTGCACCTTTCGCGAATAAAATGGCACAGAGGGATAAAGGCGTAGCGTTTCTTTGATGACTGCTTCCATGTAACGCATGGACTCCTTTTCGTGACCCCGCAACGCTGACGCCTCCTCATAGGCTCGCTGCTGTATCTCTCGATGCTGAGAGAGCAAATATATGCAGAACGCAATTGCTGAGCTCGTGGTGTCGTGACCTTCGAACAGGAATGTGTCAACCTCCTCTCTAATTTCCTGATCAGTCAGACCGCCACCTTCTTGTTGGGAGATGAGCAGCATGTCAAGGAAGGCAAGACGCCTTTTGCCACCAACGTCATCGGATTTTTCTGCATCCGCCATGGTTTGTATATTGGTGTCCTGCAACATTTGGCGACGCAACTTAATGACACGTTTCGTCTCGCCGTGTAGAATCTTTAAAGCCTCAGTACGTTCTTTATACGAATTGGTGAAACGAAAAATGATCTCGAAACGTTGCCAAAATGAAAAGGACTGTTTATGCATAACGCGACATATCCTGAAAGGAAAACAAAAAAATAAAGGGTCTCAATTCATTGTAAATGAAAACGAAGCTTTTTTGTTCGTTCAGNAAAAAAAAAAAGGGTCTCAATTCATTGTAAATGAAAACGAAGCTTTTTTGTTCGTTCAACATCTTACGTTTGCACTGCCTTCACATATTCAGATTCGCTCTGCATTTGGGCATTCTTTTTTATGCCCATCGCTGTCTCCAAGATAGCATCCAAGGCAAACAATGTTATGTATGGGTAGATATCGAACTGTTCGCCATTAGCCTTTTCCCGTAATTTTCTGATGAATATTTTGCAATTTTCTTCTATGGGTTCCTTAAATTCACTTAGAATGCGAAAATGGAAAGCGGGTGTGAGTAATTTTCGGCGACGGTGCCATGCGTCGTCGCTACTGGTGAGAAGTCCTTTGCCCAACCATGCCTCGGCTAATTCATAACTTCTTGATTTTTTAAGTAGTGTATTATTGCTTAATAATTGCTTAACGTCTTCAGGATCGCTGAAGAATACCATTAGATCTCTACCAAGCCATATCCGGAAAACTGGCCCATGCTTTTTCCTCAGCGAATGCAACCATTCTAGAATCTCTGTAATAAAATTANTTATTTTTTATCTTTTATTTTATTTATATTAAATTTGATCATTTTCTCTTAAGCGGAACTCAACAATTTAAATTTACTGCCTCCACCGCGATTTGAACTCGCGACCAACGATGTAGGAGTCGGAGGTCTTCCCGCTGAGCTATTTTAGTATTGTACGAGAAGTGAGAACTTGTGCATTTACTTCGCAACAGAGCGCAACTACCACACCAAAAGTTTTAACTGTCCCTCCCTGCAGTCGTTTTGCACCAGTTCGGAGCTAGTTCTGAAATGTATAGAGCGGACTAGCGCTTTAACAGACTGTCTCTAAATTTTACTGCAGGGTGAGTGTGCAAAGACGCTTGATACAATTCGTTGCTGCCAAGAGGGTCCGGGTTCAATTACCATCTGACGGAACATAAAATTAAATTTATTTTTTTTCTTCTTAATTACGAAAAAACATCTGTGCACTTCACAACGACATATTTCATAACGCACATACTCAAATTTAAAACGAGTTGGTTGGTGCTCATTTTAATTTAGCACGTTTTTTTTTAATTCTAAATTTTTTTATAAATATTAAAATACAGGTCACTTATTCTTTGATTTAATGGTACGCTATGTAGCTTTGTACCTTAATATTAAGGAACGAACGACTTTTATTTTCAAATTCATCGCATTTGAGACTATTTTGAGTAGGTAAGTACAAAAATAAAAATTTTGGGTCACTTCTGCTCGCAAGGCCTCATATATAAATAAGCGAAATTCCAATCAGCTATAACTTAGGAACGATAAGTCACATGACTTCGACATTTAGTGCGAAGGCATAACTAAAGTAAGCGCTTATAGTGAGTTAAATGTAGATAAATAATTTGAAAGATTTCCGAAGTTATTTATTTATTTATTTTATTTATTTACGTATAATACCAGTTCTGGAAGGTATCCGTATGTACAAATATGGAAAACTGCAGCAAAAACTTTAATTGTTAATTTTTTCGCCAAACAGCCATTTCCAGTACTACACCGTCTTTTTAATTTTAAGGCATTGATGAAGGAAAAATGGATTCCTAATTTTTCGGGCTGATTACACATTGCGTCTGTTTCTTTTCCATATTGCATACTTTCGGAATCACTGCTATTGATTTAAAGAAATATGCCGACGAAAATTTTGCGTAGTGATTGTTAGAATTCCTCTGCAGTAGCAATTAACAGCTATTTAAGAAATTTTAAAAATTTATAAAAAAAAAGCTTATGGGCAAATCTAAAAAACACTGTCATAACAAAACGTTTAATTTTTTAATTTGTGGGCACAACTGTGTTTTATATATGATTCTATTCGTAATCTCTTAATAAATCGATAAATATAAGTGTAATTCATTTTCATCAAGTGCTTCAAAAGTTAGACGAGGTATAAACATTTAGATCGCAGAAATAGAAAACAAAAGAATAAGCTGGCTTCAAATTACGCTGTGCGAGTTGTAAATTTTGAGCGAAGATTTTGAAAGTTGAACGTAATTAATTGGGACGTTCTAAATTCAATGGCATCCCCCGTTTTACCAGATTGGCTCCGGTTTTCGAGATAACGGTACTTAAAAAGTTGATTAAAGTTTAATTATTTTATAAATAAATCCCTCAGTTTTGAAGTTATTTTACTAAATTTTTCACATAACGGTTTTTTAATATTACCTTAATAATTCCTGAAAATTATCGAAATAGGTTAATTTTAACATATAGCTCCATACAGCTGATTACTCAGATATGTGTTTTTGCGCTATAACTCTAAGTTCATATCTGAATAATAACTTGTATGCGTGCTATATGTTAAAGTGAACCAATAGTAAATTTTTACCTGCTTAATTGGAGGAGTTATAACGCAAAACAACGTCCCTGAACAATCAGTTGTATGGGAGCTAGATGTTATAGTGAACCGATTTCGATGAGTTTAATAGATAGTGAACAAATATGAGGATGAGGATACCGATAAAAGTAAAGATTAAGATAGGAAAAGAAAGATTAAAACAAAGGTAATTAAAGAGGAAAGGATACAGAGAGAGACACAGAGACTCAATCTGGGAACTATTTCGGGATTTTAGAGATTTTCGAGATTCTCGAGACTTATCGATTAAATAATTATCGATATTTGTCGATTTTGTTATCGATATTTATCGATTTTGCTATCGATGTTTACCGATTTGTTATCGATATTTACCGATTTTGTTATAGATATTCATAGATTTTGTTATCGATAATTATCGAT